TAAGAATTATTGGACAATCTTGGAATGAGGTTTCACAAAAACTCTCAATGGTGTCTGGAAAAAACTGTGTCCATTTTTTTTCACCTCTGAAACTCAAGGAGAAAACCATTTCAGATCCTGAACAAATCGATAGCATAATAGAAGAAGTGGTCGATATCGCCAAGCAATTAAATTTAGAGGTCGATAATGATGACGTTCAAGAATTGCTAGATTCACACAATCAAGAGCTAACAATTGACGAGGTTATAGAAATGCGTAAGTATGAGCAAGACATTGAACAAACTGATTCGCTAGACCCAGTTGAATCGGTAAATCAAATGACAATTGCAAACTTAACAGAAGGACTCAATTCAATTGAAAAGGGGTTACAAATTTTAGAAAAAATTGATTCTAATGAAGAACGCGTGTCTACTACAAAACGAGGGATAAAAAAATTACTGGTATGCTACGAGGAAATTTTACGTGAAAAGAAGAAAAATTTAACTCGTCAGGCAACATTGTTAGAATATATAAAGCCTTCGACATCAAAATAACTTCGGTTTAGCTTACTTTATTCATAACAATGTAATTTTTTTTATTATCCTACACTTTATTAAACATTTTTCTTCTAAATTATTGTTTTCTTTAAACTCTGGTCCCGATTAAACAAACTTTATATGTATTTATATGCAACATTGAACCCCGACTTACGCGAATTCGACTTACACGGCAACCGTTCGGACCCACCTATCGCGTAAGTCCGGGGTATTACTGTACTTGAACTTTTGATCATTTGTTTTCATTCTGATGGCAATAATCTACTGACTAGAGTTATCTGGAGTAAACATTTTGCGATTTATCCATTTGTCTGAATTGTATGAAATTGATATTCATAATTTTTCGTACATTTTGGCGGTTTACTTTTTTCAAGTATTGACACTTGGACATAGTGCGTTGATACTTACCTTTTTTTTTTTCAAGAAACAAATGATGTTTTTCTTGACTATATTTTTGCTACTTTTCAATGGGGGGTGACTCCATTTTTACCTATACAAAGACACACATACTCATTTATGATAATTAAACTTCAACTTGTTGTTGAAATAGTATACGTTCCTCAGTAACTATTGTAGTAATTTTGTCTCTTGTTTGGAGCATAAGTTTTCATAATTTTAATGTTTTATAGTTTTATCTGGCATATTCTTTGGGGGAAATTAGAACATGAGTGTCTGATTTTCCATTGGATTAACAGGACTTAAACGTCTCTGTACTCTTTTAATGTATGTCAGATATAAAATAATTTTTTTAAGATTCGGCTGCTCCTGTTTTTGTATTGAAACTTTTTCTTTGTATTGTTAGTTTTTTATAGTGTTTTATATCCTTGTCATTTATTGATGTATTCCGGTTTTAACTTTTTTTTAAATATAATAATTACAAAAAAAATCCGCTCAATCGGAGGGGGCGAGTTTTTCGGTCTGTACATTGGAGCGAGTAGGTTTTCCTATGTTTATTTCCTAGTACAGATGCGAACGGAGAAGAATTTCCTTTGATAATGATTAAACTTATTTGCTGTAAGAGGCGGCTAATTGTTTACTTTGGACATTTAACATCGTTGATCCTTCAACCTTTTGAAATATTACAATCAGTCCAATACTCATATTTCCGCTCAATCGAAGGGGGCGAGATTTTCGATCTGTACATTGGAGCGAGTAGGTTTTCCTATATTTATTTCCTAGTACAGATGCGAGCGGATAAGAATTTCCTTTGATAATTGTTAAGCTAATTTCCTGTAAAAGGCAGGTGAATGTTTACTTTGGACATTAGTCATCGTTGTTCTTTCAACCTTTTGAACCATTACGTCAGGCCACCATGTACAAAATTTACAAGTAATGATTATTTTTCTGATTCCAATTTAATGTGTATACTTCATCTTTTGAATATTTCATTTTTCTGAGTGTACTCAAAATTTAAATTGCATTCCCGATCTAAATCATGTGACAAATACTGTGTATAATATTTTATAATGTTTTTATGCGTATATTTTCTGAATTTCCTTTACATACTTACGTACCTCTATTTTTGAAGTCTATTACTTTTGAAGTTTTTGATAGTATCCTCTTTTTGAATTCATTATAACTTTCTTCGAGAGCACAGACGTACATTGTTTTTGGTTCAAACTTTTGATGTTTGTTTACATATTTTTGAGTGGTTTTGAACTTTGACAGTATTTTGTAGTCTGCATAGTTACATAGATTCGTTGCGATGTATGCCTTTGAGGGTCTTGTACTATCCACAGTTTCTTTAATTGAAAGTGTTTTCTTCATATGCATTTTATTTTCTTCTTGAGACTTGTCATATATGCTTTCCGCCTAGTTGCAAATCTGTGCGTATTGATAACCTCTTGAAACCTCTGGCGTATAAGTAAAACTCACTTTTGATATAGTAATTTATGTCTCAGTTCAATTCAATCAGTTCAATTTGATTTGAAGTAATTGTCAATTCCTTCTTGAGATTTTTCATATATGCTTTCAGCCTTTGTGCACATTTGTGCGTATTGCTAAGTCTTGAGCTTGGTTGCGACATTGCTTTCATGTTTCGCTATAGATTTTGAAATATCTGGTGATTTTGCTTTTGCATTATTGCATTTGTTTTGATAGTCTGCTCTCATAATTTTTTTTCCGACTTCTTATTTCTTTCAATTTCTGTCTTGACTTGAAGTAATAGCCAATTCTTATAGATTCAGTATAGTAATTGTCTTTTCATACTTTACACTGGTAAATTATTATAGTTTTTCTAATCTTGTAATGTTTCATATTTGAACTTAACTTTCATTTTACAATGATATGGTTATTCTCAGTGTAGACTTTGAAGTGCGCTGATGATATCAGTGATCTACATGAGAATATTCCATAGACTATAGACATTCTTGTCTAGGGCTTTGGAATGCACCTATGGTGACCCTAGAAAGTTGTCTTTCTCTCATATTTTTGCTTTAAATCAAAATTCGAATTCTTACCTATCATATTTATTTCTATTTCTTGTTCACTAGATTGTTTTTTTATAACTCCAATTTTGCACCTACATATATCGTAGACTTTTGCATACAACTTTTGCTTGCGGCATTACTCTCATGTATCATGATTTATTAAAATATCTTGTGATTTTCGTTTCGCTATTTGCATTTTACATATGCTCACTTCGTTTCTCAATTATTACTCATGAAACTTTTAATATTTTGCTTACTTTTGTATTTTTTCTGAGAATTCTTTATAAAATCATGCTCATATAGCTTTGATATTTCCTTTCACTTCATAATTTTTTTTTGGTCTGGTTCTTATGTTGTCACATGATCCGAAAATTTTGATTGAACTTACTCTTGAATTTTAGTTCATTGATTGAACTTAAGCTATATTTTGACTTTGAAAATCTTACTTCCATATTTCATGAATGTCTCTTATATACTTTAGTTCTCTGAAAATATTTTGAATTATTTTGTAGTCTTACAGACTGCTGGCGCCCGACAATTTTTTTTTGTAATCAGAACTGCACTTAGTTAACATCTTTTTTTGATTAAAATACCTTATTGATCAAGTTTTCATTGGCTTAGTACTTGTAAATTGTTTTGTTATATGACTTGAATTCCTAATGGAATTTGTTAATTTCTTTTGATTTTCATATTTTGAAAATAGTAATGCACTGTTTTTTTATATTGGATATTGGTTTAAAATATCACTGTAGATGATATTCTTTTTGGGTTTGGAGTATTGCGAGATAATCTGGCAATTGTTTTGAGAAAAATTATTATTATTTTTTTAGTACCTCTTATGGTTTAGGTACTTGCTTAATTTTGAAGTTTTTAGTAGTCAGTCGTGCATTTTGGATGCCATTGTGATTCCTCACTTCGTGCTTGGACTACTGCTGAAGCTTTTGGTTTATTATTTTTCTCGTCTTAGGTATGACGATGTTTTATGTTTTGGGTTGTTCGTCATATGATGATAGTTTTTTTAAGTGCAACTTTACTGTACTTTTCAGCGAGTTGGTGCTATAACCATCCCTCTTGTTTGGTAGACTTGAGGCTATCCCTTTTTCTTCCAATTCTCTTCTAACATTTTTGTTTCTACCTTACTTTTGCTACTTGTTATCTGGTCGAATGGTTGTACATTTGTCCTTCCGTGATATCTTTCAGTTTCCTAGTAAAAAAAATTCTTGAATGCTAGTTCGAATTTTTTTTTTGGTTAAGTTGGGGCGAGTGTAACGGTTTCACCGTCCGATCGTATTTATTAAATCACTTCTCGATTATCATTTCATTAATCCCATCTCTAGCTCTTTTGCTTGGAAAATTTTCCGCTTGGAGCGCTTGATGGGGAGTTCCTGATCTGCGATCTTCCTCGCGCTTCCTGTTCACTTGAGCCGCCGATCGAACAAGAGCTAAAAACTTTCTTCTCTGTAGCACAAGATCATATAGCACCATGTGCTAGAATTTTGTAGAATGTGTGTCCGTATAGGACAAAATGGTGAGTCTTATAATACTATACAGTTTTATTGCTGGATCTGCCTGTAGTTTATAGATAATCGATATGTAAGTGGTTTATTTCTTGTACGATTTTAAAATATCCATCGAACGTCATTTTCGACTACTTCGATCATTCGCCATAACTTTAATCAAATCGAGGTGGAACCGATCCACATCGATTTACCTCTGTGTGCGTATATATATTCATAGTTCAGTGAAAGTATAAGTACGTTGATTATGAATATTCGATGTTTGTGTTTTTATATCAGAAGCATGTGGAGAAATTTTTGAAGACCACCATCTTGTTTTACGCTTTTTTTTTGCTATTTCATGATTTTATTTATGAAAGGCATTTCCAATTTTCGGTTTGATTTTATCAAACTATGTAATGTAATTCTAACCTAGAAAATCGTTGGTTCTCTTTTGAGGCAGACTGAGATTGGAAATGCCTTGGCCATTAGGGCACGTTGCTAATGCACACGGTTCTTTTTCAGATTGGGGCCACCCCCTTTCTCTTTCCCTTTCCCTTTGCCTTAGTCTTTGACTTTGCGTTGCTCGGCCTATCACTTCACCCATGCATGTGCCTTGGCAGCGCCATCGCCTTTAAGTTCAACTTCGCCTACAACTGGTTATGAAGCCACTATATGTGAGGTCACCCCTCATAACTGGGACCTCCACTTCAAGCACCTGGCCATCCTCGCTTCAGTCGAGTCAAAATGGACCAGCGAAAGATAAGTTGATAGTTTTATAGCAGCGCCAAAGATGTAAAACTTATTTTGTTCTTTAAACTGTAAAATTGTAATGTAATGAAAATGCTCTTTTTGTTAAATAAAATCTGTTACATTTTTGTGTTCTGTTTGTTCTTCTATCTTCTAGCCATGCCATGGTCGACACACAGCTACACGCCTGTAGATGTCTTCATGCCACCGACTGAGCTACCGGAAGCTAATGGTAACCCCCTTTCTGTGATTGTGCAGAAAAGTTGGAATCTTCGTTGCATTCCATCTTTTCTGGACTTTTTGCGGAAAGGAAGCGTTACAA